GGGGGGGGGGGGGGGGGGGGGGGGGGGAGTCTCTTCCGAGAAGAGGTCCAGGCACATCTACTTTATTGCATGCAATGTCTAAGTTAGGATATGTGTAGTTCCATGTTCTTACTAAAGTTCTGTGTATATTCCAAGTAACATATATTGCACAAAGCGAAAATAGACGGATCAGAGAATGCGTCAAGTGGTCGCTTACAAGAGTATAAAAACAATGGAAAATTATCATGGAACAGTCAGGCCCAAAGGAGATAGTCGTTTACTAGAGGTTCAAACTGTAAGGCTTTGACGGGGAAAATTTTGGTGTTTTGGATTGGCGGTCGCTTATCGGAGGTGATCGCTTACGAGAGGTGGTCGCACATGGAGTTTCGACTGTACTCGTAGCGGAAGAAAAGTCAAAGTCAACTTTGAAACAAGGGAAAGTCAAATGACGTTCCTTTTGAGTATTATGATCCGTCAGCATTAGTCATCATCAGTTTGCCTTCACCTACATTTCATTGTATGTTTACCTGACTCCCGTTACTTCTCTGCACTAGTTGTGCGAGAGGCACATAAAGCAACTAACATCGGCTCTATTATTAAACGTCAATTACTGTAGTAACTCATCATTAACTCTGCAGACAGCGGCATTCTGAACAGGTACTGCCATGCACTGTCCTTTTACTTCGGAAATTTCCGTGAAACGTGAGCGCGGAAAATTAATCCTTCCTGATGCGTTATTTCTACCGGCTTTTTTTATGTCGGTGCAGATACGTGCGTAGGACCCCCCTTTACTCCCCCTCTTTGTACACTGTTGTGTCCAAGAGTGTAGTTTCTATTTCTGATACTTCAGCAGTAAACTTGATGTGAGTAGGGTGGTAAGCGTTGGCTTTCTCAACGAAGAATTCTATTTATTATATAGATACTGATGAAATACTAGGAATATTTTTCCTTTTACTAAAAATCATATCTTCATTGCGCGCAGTGAGGATATCAAAAGAATGCTCACTGTTTGTCTTTCTATTTGTCCTCGATCCTTCGAGGAATCTGATCAGGGGCACCCAACGATAATATAGTTCAAAACCACTGAAACATAGCATTGTTAAACGTATTTTAGTATTTAAAGGGTAGATATAGGCATATTTTTGTCCCCTAAAAATTTTTCATCTGTTCGGATTTCCTACCTGAAAGTCTAGTGATCCGAAAATTGTAGGGATCAAAAGTTACCTTTTCGAAAATTTCAGACTGAAAAAAGGCTCCCGAAAATTCTAGGTGACCTTATTAGGGTAAAAATCTGTTAAAAATGGGCAATTATGCCATGTTTTAGATGTTCGAGGCAGGCAAGCAAGAAATTTTACAAAAAATGTTCCGAAAATTCTAGATCTCAAATCGGCTTCCGAACAGATATTTTCCGAAAATTGACGTTGGGTACCCCTGTCTGATCATGATGCGCTAGTCATTGTCTTGAAATTTAACCGTGGCAGTCAGTAAAGTTTTAAAAGAATTGCAGGTACATTTTGTACATCATGATTAAGAAAATTGCGTTTTTAATATGAATTTTCTTATACATGTTCTGTACACCTTTTCAGAAGGTTTAGTGCTGAACTTTAATTGCCGCCTGCTCGAATTAGCCGGATCATGCTTTCGCGTGTCGGTACGGATCGATGATCGAATTGTGATGCGAAGTTTAAAAGGATAAATACATCTGTTCCAGAATTAAATAAAAATTTTCAAGAAATAGTTTTTCTGTCTATTGTCTTGTCTTAAATCATCTATAACATGAGTTTAAAACAAGAAAGCATCTGAGTTGCCTTGCATTTTTTTTCATCAAATGGCTTCCCAACAAATTTATGCAGAGTTTGAGCTGAGTTACGAAATTCCAGAAAGACGAACGTTTTGTAGGTATACAGAAGTCACAGAACATACTTTTAAGTAAAATTAAATTATATCTAAATTTGCTTTTTAAGTAAGATGCCCACCACTTGAAGATTTCAAACTAACAAAAAACATCTTAAAATTTCTTTAAGATCACTTTAAGATGTCACTCCTCTTAAATGATATGTTACAAACTTAAGGTAAGAAGGGTTTTTCTTAAACGAAGACGCAAAAAAATAGAGGCTATTATTTTAAGACGTTTGTAAAATCTTACATCAAGACGGGAAACATCTTTTAGAAAAGTAAGAGATTACCCGTCTTAATTTTAATATGCTCGACCTCATACTTAGTATCCATATCTTAAAGTTAAGATGGTCGACCTCTTACTTAATATAAGGCAGGTTTAGGCTTAAATTAAAAAAAGTGACGATCTTAGGTAAGACGCGGGAGGCCTTAGTTTAAGATTTTAGTTTTTACATATTGTAGCGTGAACAACCGACAGAGTAAATGCCGTTTACAACTTACCGAGTAAATAATGTACACAACTGACCGACTGAGCAAATGTCTACAACTGACCGATTAAATGATGTACACAACTGACCTTTTGGTGTGTACAAACGACAGAGAAAATGTTTACAGCTGACCGAGTAAATAATGTACACAACTGACAGAGTAGTGTGTACAACCGACAGAGTTGAAGTTTTAATCAGGTTTAAGAGTCAACAAAACTTCGATGAACGTGATCAAAGATACAGTAATATGCATGCATGTAACCTGGTAACCGACAGTCTGGAACAGGCTACGTGATGTTACAACTGGACTCCTTATCCAGCTCATCCCTCTCGTCCCCGGAGAACAAGCCCTGCCGAAAGAGTAGAATCCTAGTTTGAGTGGCGTAAGAGCAAGAATCATGTGTATAGTTTTACATGTAGCGGTAGTAATATTTTATTATGTTCATCCTCCTTTATAATTAAGATTTTGGCTCTCCTGCCCTTTCGAATAAATACAGCTGGCATTGCAGTATTGCCTGACAAAGGCTCACACTGATCGGAACAACTTTAATTCGAAAAAAAATTAAGCGTGGTGGAAACCCTGGTTAAATAATGCTGACATTTTTTATACATTTCGGCCTTTTCGCCAGGCCGATCATTGGCTTTCAAGCAGGGTTCTATTTTGCCCCTTCCCCCTTTCCCCCACCCATCCTCCTATCACTTTTTTAATGGTCCTTTCCTTATCAACAGTTCCTGCTGGGTATTTCAAGAACGAACCTCTGGAGCCAGGCTAGTTTTTCATTAAGCCCCCCCCCCCCGGGGGGGGGTGGGGCTTATTTATTTCAAGTCCATTTGAGGGGGGCGGGGAGTTTAATAGAGGCCGGGGGCTTATTTGATTTAGAAAAGACGATGGTTCCCTTACGACAATTTTTATCTGAAATTACCCTCTCCTTCCCCTCAAAAATCAGAAGATTAGCAACAACGCAGGGAAAGGGGGGACGGGAAACCTGATCCGTGGGCAGCCCAATAATAAAAAGTGGAGAAGCTCAAGAACAGGAAGGTTAGAGATCATGCAGCCGAGGATCAGAATCAGATCCGAGCTTCTCGAGTGTCGAGAACAATTGTGAGAAACCAAAGCCAGAAATGACCAGAAATCGAATATATGCCAACACAATACATTATGCCAACTTCAAATTGTTCACTGCATAAAAATGAAGATTTTCAACCGCCATCATTCAAGGTGGCCACGATTTTAAAGCAACAAAGAGGAGAGAAAAGGTGGTCAGGGTGAGACTAATTAAGTCATTCTTACGCAGTGAACAATTTGAAGTTGGCATAATGTATTCCATTTCTGGCTTTGGTTTCTCACGGGAATACGGACGATTTAACCAAGTAGGGCAATTTTCATCTCTCATACCATGACGGAAACTTGATGGCTACCAAATCTTTTAACACAATTCAGTAGTTGAAGGATGGAACTTTGTAATGATGTACAGTAGTCTAGAGCATGAAAAGGAGAGTCACTTTTGAGATTAAATCCACTGAATTTGCCTAAAATCGTGTATTTCATCAAATGGATCAAAGGGGTTAAGTTTGTTCCCTCATTCTTATTATTCTAAAGAGTGTTGATGATTCAAACCCATATAATTTTAAGATAAAGGATCATTATATATATTACTGGGGATTGCAAGCCTTGAGATAAACTCTTCTGTCCGGAGAAAACAGTTAAACTCTTCACAAAATTCGCTATGTTGCCTCTTCCAATCCGCATGGGGTGCAAAAGAAATTGCCCCAAAAAATTTTTACAGAAGAAAATTTCTCCAATCTAGGTTCATATTTGTGCTATACTTAGTCCATGGAAAAAATATGAGCGAAACCTATTTTGTGGCAGCTTGTGGCCCAAAATCACCTTCCACTCAATTTTTTACTAAGTCTTTGCCCTGCTCAGAAAGCAGTCTTTCTTTCTTTTTTTAGAAAATATATGAACCTGGTTAATTTATGAACCAACTTAGGGAAATGAGCAAATAAGAAAAATCATTATGCAGTTCTTATTCACTAATTTTTTTTCTTTAATGAACTCGGCTGTGTACAGGGGCCCCCTCCCTCGGGGGGGTGGGGGTGGGGGCTGTACACAGGCTATAACGAACTGGAACTATTGATTAATGGATGCGAAAGCGGGAGAGAGACTGCTTGCGGTCTGAGTTAGTTATAATATTTGAAAAATATTGAATTTAGAGTCTGAATTTTTCAAGACATCCAGGGGTCTGACTTTCTAGGGGGTCTGAGTTTTTCGGGGTTCTGTGTTTTCGAGAAACCCAGGGGGTCTGAGTTTTCGAGACATCCAGTGCTCCGAATTTTTCGGGGGTCGGTGTTTTCGATACACCCGGGGGGTCTGAGTTTTCGATACACCCAGGGGGTCTGTGTTTTTTCGATACACACAGGGGGTCTGAGTTTATTGGGGGTCTGTATTTTCGATACACCCGTGGGATCTGAGATTTTTGGGGGGTCTGTGTTTTCGATACTCCCAGGGGGTCTGAGATTTTTGGGGGGTCTGTGGTTTCGATACACCCAGGGGATCTGAGTTTTTCGGGGGGTCTGTGTTTTTGATACATCCAGGGCGTCTAAGTTTTTCGGGGAGTCTGTGTTTTCAGTGCGCCCAGGGATCTGAGTTTTTCGGGGTCTGAGATCTGTGTTTTCGAGGTCTGAGTTTTCGTAACACCCCTAATTTGCTTTGCTTTGCATACAGAATTAAGTAATTTTTCACGCTAAAATCGTGGAAATAGATATATAGGAAAAAAATATATTGGTATTGTAAATGAAGAACGCTTATCGCAAGTCTTCACACTCTTTGTAAAGGCTTTCAGTCCAAAAAGACACCCTGCTCAAGTCGCTTAATAGTGAAATTGTATGGACCCTGTTTAAGACTCAGCTAGAACTTGATAACCATATCACAAACCGGTATCAGGCCAAGTAAGGGAGTGCCCCCCCTCCCACCCCTGGTCAAATTGAACCATGCCTTAACATGTGTCATTTCCATACCCTTTTCTTTGAAAATGTATGTTCATTAAGGGTTATGGGCTCCTGCTAGCGTTTAATTTGTATAGGTAATAGCATGATTAGTAGTGATATTTGGCGTAAACACCACGAATTGTTATACGTAATTTCACAAGCCGTTAGGCGAGTGAAATTTGGGACAATTTTGAAATATCACGAGTGGTGTTTATGCCAAACATCACCTACAAATCATTCTATTATTTGTTTATACTACTACCCACAAAAGGTTTGTAATTTTCAAATGTAGGTATTTCAAATTAAGCTGAAATACCACTGCTCCGAGCCAATCAAACTGCAGAAATTTCTCATGTAGTAGTATACGGAAGCTCACAATTTATCAGCGCTGTTTTTGTTTTTATTTTCTGATTAAACTACGATGGCCCAAGAACAAAAGTCTTTTTGAAGAGCTCATTATCCAAATAGGACCTAAGGAGAAGGAGGAAAAAAGAGACAGCGGTAGCCCCCTGAGAGATTTGAACTCTCGACCCCTGGTTTACAAGACCAGTGCTCTAACCACTGAGCTAAGGAGGCTCTGTTGCGAGAATTGCGGTCTTTTACCTATTTATTTGCAATGACTTTTTTTGTAAACTGAATGACGTCACAACATTCGCAGGCTCAATGTCTCGTTCAGGTGGCATCCCCTATGGCATTATACGTTCGACATTTTCGATTGATTATTTATTTAGCCAGCCAAACAAAATAAATCTTATATCCGAAAAAAGTTGAAGCGAGTTGAAATTTTATAAAATAGAATGATTGTTCGGTCTTTGGTCAGCAAATATAACTGGAAGGAAGCATGCGCTGTACGCACCAAAACGATAATAAACATGGCGGGCAAATTATCAAGTGTACTTCGGCTATATTGTATTCTTTTTGCCATCCCTGTGTGCTATGCTGCCGAAGATAGTGGAATTTTACCTGAAAGTGACGTTATAAAAGGTAGTTTTAATAAGAATGGATTTCACAGGGGGTGAGATAATTCCGTGGCATGTTTTATTAGCTACTGCAGAGGTAATTAAGATCAGATAATCGCAAATTTCTTAATCGCTAACCCTCATTCTAAACTTTCTTTTACAGCTGAGGTCGAAGAGAGCTCTGGTCCAATGGACATTAATGACACAATGTTAGAGGAAGCCATCCAAACAATGAACAAAACGACCATCGTAGATGTGAATAATGGCACCATTTCCGAAGAAAACTCTTTGCAATTTGAAAACGCCTCAGAAGTTGTCAACACCACCAATTCAACTAGTGCGAGTTCCGAATTGCCAAAATACTTCTGCAAGGGCCGGAATAACTCACTAGGCAACGGTTCTGTTGAGCAGAGGGTGATAATCGTTAAGGCAGACGAGCTGATGCAGTGGATTAACACGACAGAGGACAATGAAACCGATACTTGTGCAGTTGTACTGTTTTATACTGAGTATTGCCCATTCTGTGCAAAGCTTGCTCCACTGTATAATGCTTTGGGCAGAGTTTACAACAATCTTCCTGTTCTGGCAGTAGATGCGTACAAGCAGCATAGGTAAGGGACCTTAACAGTCTGTTCCTTTAGTAATGAAAATTATTGGATGGTGCTGGGTATGATATGAAGAATTACAATCAAACCTGCATTTATAAGTGGTCACCCTGTCTGCAGAGTATGGCAGAACTTGACAAGATCTTGCGCGTGCAAGACTGTTTTCAGGCCCTTATTGCTTATACATTATTTAAAAAACTCACGCGTGCACCTGCCATACTCTGCAGACTGGGTGGTCACCCTGGGGGAATGGCCAACTGACTAACCAAAGAGTTGATCAGGAAAATAGATGGTTGCAAGCATAATATCCATAACACAATAAGTTGACCTCAAAGTGTTTCTTCCTGTTCTTGTGCCTAAAGGAAGAGGGTAAATGATCACTGAATGCAATGCTAAGGGTTTCTACTGCACTTGTATTTTTGTTTGCAAAGTTACCGTTTGATAGATGTGAAAACATTAAAAGGCAACTCATTGGGACCATGGGAAAGGTGACTGCTTAATACAGCAATTAAGGAAAAAGATTTTCAGGACTTAAGAAAGTTACCACTCCCTTGACAGGAGGGGTGACCACTTAATGCAGATCCTTGTAATACAGGTTTGACTCTCTGTGGGTCCTGACAGATTTCTTCAAAAAGCAGTTTTTGTTGTTCAAGTAGTAATATTAATATACCCGTGCTTGAAGCAGTAATTTATTTTGGCTATTTTATCTTGCACACAAACTTGTGAAATCTTCCATGATTTCCGCACCAAAACAACTGATCCACCCATGCTGCTGTGCTTGCATTGGGTGATACTGATGGGTCTATTGTTATGTTCATTACAAATCAATATTGTGAAGTGATATCGCAAACATCTTCCAAATTTGGTCAGTGCTAGACCCAGCTGGTTATGAAGAATAAGGCGGAAGATCCAATCAGAAAGCGAAAAATAATTTATTTTGAATAAGGCTGGGTATTATCCCAGGGTGAGATGGAAATTTATCAGTCAGTTTTCGTCAAAAGCAATTTGCCTGAAAACACTTGTAGAAGGGTTTCTAGTACATTTCTTTTTCTTCAATTCTCTCACCCCAACTAAAGTTACCCTTCGATCCATCTGGCTCTTTTTATTACCTACAGTGAATACTCAGTGCCGAGCATTGGCTTGGTTCCCTTTTATGGCTCTGTATTCTTGTACACAATGCCAGAGGCATACACGAAGGAGCCATAGCAGCACGAGTTCATGTTGGTTGCTGTATAGTACCAGAGCAAGAATTTCATTCCTGTGAAAAATCTTCCAACAGTGTCTTGTAAATGCAGACAACCACTCATTTTGGTATAAAATTGGCCTCCTTGTGGAGTGGATTAGATAGCTGGTCATTTTCATCCATTCAATACGGCATTGCCATATTGGACCATGGACTAGGAGAAAACTTTTACTGACAAATGCTGCTATGAGGGTGACCTGGCTAGGAGGGTCAACCCCTCTGGTGGAACCAACAGTTGGTTCCACCAGAGGGGTTGACCCTCCTAGATGAAGAAAAATGAGAAATGAGAAACAAATAGTTACTATTTGTTTCTCATTTAAAGAGTTTGCCAAGTTTTTGAAGCTAATCGAGCGATATTCTGGTCACTGTTGTGCTATAAAGGGAGCTTAAAGACTTACCATAAGGCCATTTACAGGTCGTACACAGCCTTCTGATCCAGATATAAAATATTAGCTTGCGAAGTTCGGGCATGTGCCGAAAGCAAAATTTTGAGGGTTTAAAAATGAGACTGCAGTCTTGACTTTTACTTTTCACTTTCTCTCCTCCCCTCTTTTTTTACTTTTCTTGCCTCATTTTCTTTCTTTTGAGCACTGGGCATTTAGTAGGCTTAGGAAAGCTTTTAGGATCTTAGAATTAAGGAAAGGAAAGGTAGGTGGGAAGTGGAACAAGATTTTCATGAAATTTTTCTGGTCAATGTTACAAGGGTTTTTGCCTTTTTCTCTGGTGTCCTTGACTAAATTGTGCTCATTCTGGTATGATTTGAATGATCTCTTCACTCTGCACAAGGTAGCGGACGAAGTTGTCCTTGACCGTTAAAACTGATGATCACAAGCAGTAGAAGGGACGTGGGTGGCTCGGGGGTAAATGGCTTAAGGAAACGTATGAAAATTTGGCTAACACAGGGTAGCCAGGGAACCCTTTTACCCCGGAAAAGTCAGCTCAAACCAAGTGACTCAAAAATATGCATAGGCCGTGCAGAATAATGAGGCCAAGGGTCAAGGCAAAATTTTATACAGGATTCACTGTAATTTAAACTGTATAAAATGAAAGAGTTCACAGTAAGTTGATCTCAAGTCTTGCCATTCTTGTTATCTTTTCAGCTTAAATACTCGGTTTGGAATTGTTGCTGTGCCTACCATCCTGTTATTTCATACAGGGAAGCCTGTTTTGAAATTCAACAGTTCAGTTTCCTTGGATGATATGAGAAACTTTATCAAGAATAACACAGGTATGATTTTTATGTTTCTTAACAATATTGTACATTAATATTTAATTAACATTTGTAATTTATATTGGCAGTAAGGTAGTTTCCCAGTGGTGTGCTTTAATAGTTTATAGACCTTAAACCAAAGTTCCTTTTGTTGTAGGTGTTGAGGGAAATTTCACGGTGCAGATATCTGAGGAAGATTACCTTGGTCCACTAAAAAACAAACCAGTTGATGAAACAGATTTTTATTTGCTACTCTCTGTGCTCTTTCTGTTCACATTTGGGGTTGTCATGTTTGGAAAATCTAGTTACAGGCAGCTACTGTTGGATAGGATTCAAGCAATCAACTGGCAGAGATTTTTTCATTGGTTCACCAGAGAGAAACAGGAGTAGGCCTTTTGTTTTTGCTTTACAAATATATCAGAGTGGAATAACTTGTTATATGGGAGACAGACAAGGGTTTCAGAAAGCATCAACTGTTGACTCCATCTTTGACATTGGATTCTTTCATGGCATGGGAAAAAGTTCCTTTTTCGGCTTTGCACGTTCTTAAAGAAGCTGTGTCATGAAATTTAACAAAATTCAGACAGTGGGTACTGTCACCAAACTGAGTGAAACATAAAAATAACTGCTCAAAACATGAAAAGAGAGTATAAATAAACACAGTAGATATCAAAGGAGCCACGGATGGACAAACTTATGGAAGACCGAAACTGATTGCAAATGTAGTACATTGTACTTGAGAACTTGTTAGCCTAACAGTTTGCAAAGTTCCTTTTTTTTGTTTGTAATTTTAAATATAATGCTGGGAGACATGTTATGTATGACATGAAGCTGTAAGTGACACAGACCCTTCAACTGTCTCAAAGTCCACTATCACTAACTTACTTTCATGTTTTTGATTTAAATATTTCCTGGTCAGATTCATTTTTTCCACATTGCAACATCCAGCTCCAATGAAACTCGATGACTTTTTATTGTTTTATTAAATTCACCTACAACATTTTTCCTACTCACTACTTAATTTTCAACTGACTTTTACAAACTTACACCGTGTAATGGATAAAGATTTATGAATGTAAATATTGTGCATGACCATGTACAGTAAAATATTTCACTTATTATTATTGTAATACCAATAATATGGACTATATTTAAGACGAAGAAGGAAAAGTTTATCTTCTGTTTTCTAAAAAGTCTTATACAATGTACAATGTGTAAATACATGTAGGACAAATTTGTAGGATGACAGCAAAACTACAATAAATCAGTTGTTAAAAGAACCTTATATGTTGTTTACTTATGACTTCTAAACACTGAGAAGTTTTGCATTACATACAACTGTTTATTTATAAGTGTTTTAACCCACATTAATCTATGATTAAGTTAACAGAAATCTTTACCACATTAAATTGATACAGTAACAGGCTGCCTGAAATTTAAGTTGTTGATTCGTCTGTGTACATTTTGATTGATAATTGATCGCATTGGTGTTGATTTGGGACCCTGTGAGGGTCTGAAGATTCTTTTTTCTGCGTCACTTGCTTTCTTCTTTTTTACCATGTAAGGATCTTCAGAGTGTGATGGATAATTGTCAAAGCATCCAGCCTTCATGCCACCAATCTGAAAAAGCAATACATAGTAATTTTAACCTTTCACCCAGAGTGAATGACGGAGCCCTGTGGAGTAGTCCTTACTTTAGAGTCTGTGGATCAAATCCTATGGTGTGACCATTCAAGTGAAACCTCTTCAGCAGTACTTTCACATGGTGCTATATTTATTTAGTGTGTAGTTCTAACTTTTGAGTCTGTGGATGAAATCCTATGGTGTTACCATTTCAATGAAACCTCTTCAGCAGTATTTTCACATGGTCCTATTTATTTAGTATATACTGTGATACAGTACTTCTAACTTTTTAGGTTATGGACAAAACACTATCATGGTGTCACCATCCAAATGAAACCTCCTTGTCAGTTCTTTCAAATTGTACAATTTTTGTGTTTTCACATTGGGCAAAATCAAATGTGGGAAGTTTTTGGTGGAGTGAAAGGGTTAAACTAGATCTTGGGAAAAAAAGAGATAAAGTGGGACATTGATCATTTGCAGGAGAAATGAAAAGTAATGCTTGATGATGTTATTATTATTATTATTATTATTTACACAATGCTAACCTCTTTGGGTGGAGAACTAGGTTTAAAAGGTTTAAGGCCCTCTGGTGGTTTTCTTGTTTCTTTCAGTGGTGGAAGTGCTAAAAAGAGGCGAGAAAAATTAGATTAAAAATCTGTATAATGCAAGAAACACTCTGTAGCAGCATTTTGGTTGATAACAAAGAAATTAAACGTGTTACTCACTTGTCTTTTACATACAACTGTAACCACTTTAATAAAAAATGTAAAAACTAATATCAGTGGATCAGCCATTGGGAAAGTCTCTTTGAGAAACTTTTAAAGATGGTGTTAAACATTTTTTGGTCAATCACTCCAAACTTTTCTTTTTCCTATACCTCAATAAATTTGTGAAATCCCTGCACTCCATTACATGACCTTGTATTAGGAGTACACCCCTCCCACTACAGACAGCACCTTCAATGAACGTCATGACAAAGAAAAGTACTTACGTCTGTCACTTTTGTATGGATTTCCATCAAAAAAGGCTTTTGGGTGGAGATTAAGTTTATATGGTCCTCCTTTTCTTGCTTTAAAACTTGCTTCCATTTCTTTCTGTAAACAAAACAGTTAATCATATGTATTTATTATGAACAGTTTTTAGAATTCAGCAAGTCACAAACCTGGGACAATTACTACAAAATTGGAGTACCCCAACCTTTAATTTCTATAACCCACATTTTCTCTCTGTACCAAAGTTCACTTTTTCACTTTTCCATACAAAACTATTAGCTAACACATCATTGTCAAAGATGCTGTTGTGACAAATTTGACACGACTTTGCTCAGTTGCGACTGAAATAATGCCAACCATTTGTGGGTAATAAGAAAATTTTTGCCTAAATCAAAATTAAACTCTCTAAAGTGTGACCAAAGTCATTATGAAAGAATATAATAAACACTACAGTGGAAAACCTTACAATGTAAAATTTAAGCTCACAGTTCATGAACCATGAAGATTCAGCAAACTCCAGTATGTTTTTTTTTTAGTTTTTCTTTTTAAAACACAAATCTAAGGTTGGAAGTTGGGAATGCAGCTAATTGCCAGTACAGAGCACGAGTTTTTACACTAATGTATTATTGGTTATGTAATATTTAATTTAATTGATAACTCTATTTTATTTTTTGAAGTGTCTTCATGTATATATCATCCAATCACCTTTCTTAATTCTCTGGCACGTTCAAAAGCATCTGACATGTATTTTGGAGGGGCACCAATGGTGACATGAAGATAGCCATAACCGGTTCCTTTCTTTGGTGGATTTGTTAGGAAGTTCTTTCCTGGTGAATCTGCTGCTTTCTTCCCTTTTGAAACCGGACTGAAGGCATTGATGGGTCCACTGAATGTTCCATAATGATTTCCAGCCCCTGAACTATAGACAGTCAATAATTGTCAACCAAGAAATACATGTACCATAAATAATGTTAATGACGCCAAGTCTCAAATAAATGCTTCTTGTCTAAAAAACACCCCCCTACAATGTGAAGTTTGATTAAGAGACTCCTTTAAATGCCTCCTGTCTAATTCATGTCCCCCCTTGGGGTTGGAAGCAGTGTTCTTCTCATCAGGCGGTAACCAGTAATTTTTCCCATCTGAAGCAACACTTGTTACCGCCTGCAATGGCCTGACATTTTCCTAAATTAAAGAAGTACTTTCAAGAAACGCACAAGTTGTGATCCGATCCAATCCGATTCTCACATGCCACAAGGAAATGAATGAACATGTGGATGGCAGATTAGTGTAAAATAGGTCTTAAAATGAGGGAATGACGTTTTAGAGACTTAAGCTCATAAATTTCCCTACATTAAGGGTGGGGCCATGTCCCGCACTCCACTACCCCCCTGCCCCCAGGAAAGTGCACCTCATATGCATATGAGTGCATATTTTCTGCCTTACCAGCTATGAATGGTCCCTTACCTCCTGAGCTAAAATTTAGGGAGAACACCGTGGAAGCCCAACAGAATAGGGGTGGCAGGGGCACAGGAGGTGGGAGAGGATAAGGTAGGAGGTAAGAGTCCTAAAAGGGTTGGAAGTAGGCGAATAAGGGGAAGTTACACAACAATGCTTAACATTTCGCAATCAAAAAAACTACAAGCCATAAACCAGGTCACACTACTGAATCCTTGTTCTACAATCTGAGTCCTGATGGCAAAAAGGTTTTGAAGCTTGGAGACAAATTTAAAAAATTATACAATATCAAGACTTTGTGGCTAGCACTTTATTTATGGAGGCTTTCAGGTTTGATCAACCGTTTTGAAGTTTCTGTCAGTATTCCCAGGCACACTTGCCCATCCCTTCTATTCCGTCATATTTACCAGCTTTTGAATTACTACAGTACTATAAATTAAAATTTATAGTGGTAATTCATTATTCATTCTAAGGTAGATCTTGCATTATTGATCAACAGAAATATGTACTTTGTATAATCAATTATTGATTTTTCCAATCAATCAACCAACCAATCAACAAAAGTAACTTGTGATTGAGGCATGCTAGCTAAAGGGGATTCTGGGAAACAGCTTGCATGATGGGGGGGGAGGGGGTGAGTAGGGGAAGGCAAAATCCCTTAAAATGGTTTTCAAGCCCTTTTAATTGGTTTGAAATAGAGTAAAACAAAACTTGATGTCTAAATTATGCATGTAATACATTGACAATACAAAACTTACGGTAGTTTCTCTCCATTGCTTGGAACAAAAGCCTTTCCTAAGTTAAGCTTTGAGCTCTTGAGTTTTTGTTGTCGTCTTCGCTTTACTGGATCAGAGAATGCTTCACCTTCCATTATTCTATTGAATTTTTGATCAAAGTATCCTGCTTGAAGTGCTGATCTCGTTTTACTTCCCCCAGGAAGCATCTGTTTTCCTTTGTGAGCTGCCACATTGAAATCTGTGGGAATTTTGTACAAAGAGCATTAGCATAATATTATTCAGAGTATTTTTTTCTGCCAAATACACTACTCATCACTCCAATTAACATAATTACAATTAAATTTTACTATTTACTGATACAGGTTTGAGGTCTGTAATGTCTTAAGTACAGACTGAGTTTTTTCCTATGGCTCTTGATTTTGTTTTTATTAAGCCACAGTGTGTATATCCAAGGCATCCATAACTTACTGCATGGTGTCTCTTCAGAGATCTATTGTCAAGCATAAACGAAAATAAAACGACCGGGGATTCAATGACCACCAGTGCAAGGATGTGAGAGTTGTTGCATATTTTTCTTTTTCTTCTGTTAAAAGGTTTTCTACCTAAATTATGTATAGTGTCCACGAAAGCCTAACAGTAGAACAATATGTTATGACAATGCAAACAAACTTGTAAAAACAACAACGAAGACCATCATTTCTTCCATGTCCGGCTTTACAAAAGCTAAAAAGCAGAACTCACGTCCTTTATTACACTTAGAATGGAAATTACGCAGATTAAAATGGAGAAAATCGTCTACTTACTTGTACTTTGTCGCTTGTAAGGGTCGCCAATCGAAATGTATCCAAGCTCTGAGAACAAACCAACGCGGTTCAGATCGTTTTTCGTGTCGAGCTTTGCCATCTTCCCCCACACAAACACAAACACACGAGATTGATCAATGTAATAAATGAAACAGACTTTGGTGATATAAAATCTATGAACTAGTGAACGCCGAAGATGGCAAATCCCAGAAAAAGGCCAAGCTTTCGAACAACAAAGAATTTGATCGTAGTGTTCTCCGTTGTCATAACAACGAGTTCCTTGGTAGCCGGGCGTTAGAATTTATCCGCAGGGAACAGGGAACTAGCACCATGTTTAACATGGCGGATTTCAGGAGGGGAGTTGCTGTTTTTTGTTAAGAAATGGAGCTTTTTTCACATCGCCAGATAAATTGAATACCATTTACTCTGACAAAAGAGGCGTTACTTATGGCTGAGCGCGAAGAAGACGCTTTTGAGAGGAAAGAAAGCAAAAAAGACAAAGGTTACATTGCGTTTCGCTCAGACGATGACAGCGTCGGAGAAGAAGAAGAAGAAGATTCCAGGTAAAATCTTTTGTATGGATTTCCATCAAAAAAGGCTTTTGGGTGGAGATTAAGTTTATATGGTCCTCCTTTTCTTGCTTTAAAACTTGCTTCCATTTCTTTCTGTAAACAAAACAGTTAATCATATGTATTTATTATGAACAGTTTTTAGAATTCAGCAAGTCACAAACCTGGGACAATTACTACAAAATTGGAGTACCCCAACCTTTAATTTCTATAACCCACATTTTCTCTCTGTACCAAAGTTCACTTTTTCACTTTTCCATACAAAACTATTAGCTAACACATCATTGTCAAAGATGCTGTTGTGACAAATTTGACACGACTTTGCTCAGTTGCGACTGAAATAATGCCAACCATTTGTGGGTAATAAGAAAATTTTTGCCTAAATCAAAATTAAACTCTCTAAAGTGTGACCAAAGTCATTATGAAAGAATATAATAAACACTACAGTGGAAAACCTTACAATGTAAAATTTAAGCTCACAGTTCATGAACCATGAAGATTCAGCAAACTCCAGTATGTTTTTTTTTTAGTTTTTCTTTTTAAAACACAAATCTAAGGTTGGAAGTTGGGAATGCAGCTAATTGCCAGTACAGAGCACGAGTTTTTACACTAATGTATTATTGGTTATGTAATATTTAATTTAATTGATAACTCTATTTTATTTTTTGAAGTGTCTTCATGTATATATCATCCAATCACCTTTCTTAATTCTCTGGCACGTTCAAAAGCATCTGACATGTATTTTGGAGGGGCACCAATGGTGACATGAAGATAGCCATAACCGGTTCCTTTCTTTGGTGGATTTGTTAGGAAGTTCTTTCCTGGTGAATCTGCTGCTTTCTTCCCTTTTGAAACCGGACTGAAGGCATTGATGGGTCCACTGAATGTTCCATAATGATTTCCAGCCCCTGAACTATAGACAGTCAATAATTGTCAACCAAGAAATACATGTACCATAAATAATGTTAATGACGCCAAGTCTCAAATAAATGCTTCTTGTCTAAAAAACACCCCCCTACAATGTGAAGTTTGATTAAGAGACTCCTTTAAATGCCTCCTGTCTAATTCATGTCCCCCCTTGGGGTTGGAAGCAGTGTTCTTCTCATCAGGCGGTAACCAGTAATTTTTCCCATCTGAAGCAACACTTGTTACCGCCTGCAATGGCCTGACATTTTCCTAAATTAAAGAAGTACTTTCAAGAAACGCACAAGTTGTGATCCGATCCAATCCGATTCTCACATGCCACAAGGAAATGAATGAACATGTGGATGGCAGATTAGTGTAAAATAGGTCTTAAAATGAGGGAATGACGTTTTAGAGACTTAAGCTCATAAATTTCCCTACATTAAGGGTGGGGCCATGTCCCGCACTCCACTACCCCCCTGCCCCCAGGAAAGTGCACCTCATATGCATATGAGTGCATATTTTCTGCCTTACCAGCTATGAATGGTCCCTTACCTCCTGAGCTAAAATTTAGGGAGAACACCGTGGAAGCCCAACAGAATAGGGGTGGCAGGGGCACAGGAGGTGGGAGAGGATAAGGTAGGAGGTAAGAGTCCTAAAAGGGTTGGAAGTAGGCGAATAAGGGGAAGTTACACAACAATGCTTAACATTTCGCAATCAAAAAAACTACAAGCCATAAACCAGGTCACACTACTGAATCCTTGTTCTACAATCTGAGTCCTGATGGCAAAAAGGTTTTGAAGCTTGGAGACAAATTTAAAAAATTATACAATATCAAGACTTTGTGGCTAGCACTTTATTTATGGAGGCTTTCAGGTTTGATCAACCGTTTTGAAGTTTCTGTCAGTATTCCCAGGCACACTTGCCCATCCCTTCTATTCCGTCATATTTACCAGCTTTTGAATTACTACAGTACTATAAATTAAAATTTATAGTGGTAATTCATTATTCATTCTAAGGTAGATCTTGCATTATTGATCAACAGAAATATGTACTTTGTATAATCAATTATTGATTTTTCCAATCAATCAACCAACCAATCAACAAAAGTAACTTGTGATTGAGGCATGCTAGCTAAAGGGGATTCTGGGAAACAGCTTGCATGATGGGGGGGGAGGGGGTGAGTAGGGGAAGGCAAAATCCCTTAAAATGGTTTTCAAGCCCTTTTAATTGGTTTGAAATAGAGTAAAACAAAACTTGATGTCTAAATTATGCATGTAATACATTGACAATACAAAACTTACGGTAGTTTCTCTCCATTGCTTGGAACAAAAGCCTTTCCTAAGTTAAGCTTTGAGCTCTTGAGTTTTTGTTGTCGTCTTCGCTTTACTGGATCAGAGAATGCTTCACCTTCCATTATTCTATTGAATTTTTGATCAAAGTATCCTGCTTGAAGTGCTGATCTCGTTTTACTTCCCCCAGGAAGCATCTGTTTTCCTTTGTGAGCTGCCACATTGAAATCTGTGGGAATTTTGTACAAAGAGCATTAGCATAATATTATTCAGAGTATTTTTTTCTGCCAAATACACTACTCATCACTCCAATTAACATAATTACAATTAAATTTTACTATTTACTGATACAGGTTTGAGGTCTGTAATGTCTTAAGTACAGACTGAGTTTTTTCCTATGGCTCTTGATTTTGTTTTTATTAAGCCACAGTGTATAATATCTAAGGCATCCATAACTTACTGCATCGTGTCTCTTCAGAGATTGTCAAGCATAAACGAAAATAAAACAACCGGGGATTCATTGACCACCAGTGCAAGGATGAGAGAGTTGTTATATATTTTTCTTTTTCTTCTGTTAAAAGGTTTTCTACCTAAATTATGTATAGTGTCCACCAAAGCCTAACAGTAGAACAATATGTTATGACAATGCAAACAAACTTGTAAAAACAACAACGAAAACCATCATTTCTTCCATGTCCGGCTTTACAAAAGCTAAAAAGCAGAACTCACGTCCATTATTACACTTAGAATGGAAATTACGCAGATTAAAATGGAGAAAATCGTCTACTTACTTGTACTTTGCCGCTTGTAAGGGTCGCCAATCGAAATGTATCCAAGCTCTGAGAACAAACCAACGCGGTTCAGATCGTTTTTCGTGTCGAGCTTTGCCATCTTCCCCCACACAAACACAAACACACGAGATTGACGATTGATCAATGTAATAAATGAAACAGACTTTGGTGATATAAAATCTATGAACTAGTGGACGCCGAAGATGGCAGATCCCAGAAAAAGGCCAAGCTTTCGAACAACAAAGAATTTGATCGTAGTGTTCTCCGTTGTCATAACAACGAGTTCCTTGGTAGCCGGGCGTTGGAATTTATCCGCAGGGAACAGGGAACTAGCACCATGTTTAACATGGCGGATTTCAAGAGGGGAGTTGCTGTTTTGTGTTAAGAAATGGAGCTTTTTTCCCATCGCCAGATAAATTGAATACGATTTACTCTGACAAAAGAAGCGTTACTTATGGCTGAGCGCGAAGAAGACGCTTTTGAGAGGAAAGAAAGCAAAAAAGACAAAGGTTACATTGCGTTTCGCTCAGACGATGACAGCGTCGGAGAAGAAGAAGAAGAAGATTCCAGGTAAAATTTCATTTTTTTACGTGTACACGTTCCTTGGAGGGTGTAGAACTTACCCTTCTTCTCGTGACAGCTTTTTTGAGATTTTTTTAGTTTCATTTTAATCACCTAAAAGGGGTTTATAGCTGAAGATAACATGCATATACGGAAGCTTTAAATTTTTGTGGGTTTGTGTACCTTGATCGCGCGTACCTCAAGTTGGGCATGGACCTGTCCACTGATGATGCCGCAAATACATATTTAAATTCTTTGTGATAAGAAGCACTGATGGCTAATATAAATTAAGTACTTTTTTATCTTTTATCCCGTTATATCTGGGTGTAATATCCGATCCATCTTATTATCATTAAACTTATTATTAATTTCCTTTTTGTTTTTCGGGATTGGCAAATAATTAAAACCCCAAACAATTTTATTAAAGCTTGTTAATTTATCTATTGCAAACGTTGCAAAGGGGTTCCTTTTTCTTTAAATGACATTAATATAGTAAAGATACAGTTTTAAAAAGTGTATGCTGGTGTTTCTACAATAAAGTAAGTGCATTGATAACATTAATTATTATTGTAAGTAGGTTGAGCATGATAAGGGTTCACAGTTTTACATTATTATATCAAGTAGTAGGTTATTATAGAAATTTAGTAGTTTATTATAGAAAAAAAAACCATTATTTCATAAAGCACTTAAATTAGATTAGAGTGATTGAAGTTTTTAACTAACAAATGACTTTTTTTACTACATTAACATTATTCGTATTTTATATCAATTTCCAATTTTTTTTATTTACCTACTATTTACCTATTTATTTGGCTATGTAAATTTTTGCATTTATTAGTTTATTTTTAATGTCTTGCAGTGATGGGTACCCCCCTTAGTTTGTAGGACTTAAATTTCATGTAGATGTAGATCCTGTGTTATAACACTTTGTATTTCATAACAAGATATTGTTAAAAAAAACATTTTATCTATAATTATTGATGCTAATATTCATGATCTACTATGTTTAAATTATATTCAAAGCATATGTCATTTGATGAAACAAAATAGTTTGAGCCTGATTTTCTCTCATTTCATTGGCCGATGGTACATTTCAGTTTTTTGTTGTCATTTCCTCTGTTGAAAATATGTAAATGTATTTTTCTATATATTTCTTATTACAATGAAAAATTGTTAGCACTCTTTCTGTTGAGAGCCTCAACGAATTACAAATGCTTAGACCAACTTGTTTCTCCTTTTTGACAAAGAAGTTAAGAAAGGACTCGGAGTTTGATGGGCCCTGTTGCCAGTTTGCTGCGATAAGGTACAAAGTGGCTCTTCCATTTGTAAAGTAGTGCTTTGGTTTGGCCAGTGTTTGTACCATTCAACTGTTAAGAAAACTGTTAATACTTCAAGTATGAAGTGGCATTATTAAACTGTACTGAGCTTTATCACAGAAATGCAATAATTTGATCATACAATTACAATTACAACAAAGATACACTGTACAATTTATTTTTTAATTATTATTGAATAATTATCATCAAGAAAACAGTGAAGGGCTTTGTGTGAAAAAGGCGATAATCTCATTGGAAACGAAAAGGTGAGCAACTCAAAAGGTACTAAATTGCTGTACCTTACCATTAATATTTGATCAACATTCATTCTTATTCACAGCTTCTTGCAAGTAAAATAATTATACCTGTTAGTGAAAAACATCAGGCCAACACTTCTCAAATTTGAGTGCTAAAATTGCCTGAAATTTTAATTGCCTTGCACTTCACTGCTTTTTCCTACTGCTGCTGCTGATGATCACTTGATTTACATGTCTGTTGTACTAGCTAGTCAATAAGACAAAAATTGTTAAATTTGTTTCCTATTAAAAAATTTCTTAAGGATAGCTGTGTACATAAGAATGTTCTTCAGAACATTTTAATGCATGTTATAATCTTATATACATGTAACAGGAATACAGTGGAACCTTGATATAATGAACCTCTATATAACAAAGTCCTTGATATGATGAACGATCTTTTCATCCCAGTAATAGTAAAATATATGAAAAAGAACCTCGATACATGTATAACGGATTAACGTTGTTATAGCGGACAAATTTTGCCAGTCCACTGGGCCTTCACCTTTACTTACAAAACTTACTTAGACATATAAAAACATTTCCTTAAGAAAATAATTTAAAAGCTAATATCTTCATTTTAAGAGTAATAATGGCGTAGACTAATAAGGTAATGTACATTACCATAATTTTAAAGATAACTTACTAAAGAGACAATGAAAAGTTACCCGTATTCTAAGTACAGCATAGTGGGAACCTCAGTCATGCAATATTTGTTAGCATCTTCTGTTACTGTAAATCTTGTTATCTGATTGCTGACATAAACCCCGAAAGAGAGGGAGCTTACCAGTTTTTTTTTAGCTTGGACCAAAAGATAATGGAACAAAAGATCAATAATTATTAACAACCAATAACAACCATTTTTGCTTCAATTTATTTTCTTGCATTTTTGGTTATTAATGTTATTATTTTCCCAGGCCCAAGGGGAAGAAAGTGAAAAGGGAGAAGTCTAGATCACTGGCTCTGCGCATCAAGACAAAAAAGCAGAAAAAAGAGAAAGAAAAGGACAAAGAAAAGGAAAAGGATAAAGAGAAAAAGAAGAAAAAGAAAGCCGAGAACCTTTCACCTCCACAAGCACCAAGTAAGATCGAGTTGCTTATGCTAGAGTTCTAGTACTCAGTACTATATTGTAGCATTTTTTAGTGGCCTTAAGTTAAAGAAATTAATTTGTTATTATTGTTGTTATTATTATTATTATTACTTTTATTATTATTCTTCTTATTATTATTATTATTAATAACATCATGAAATATATTTTGGTTCATGTAGAGGCTGGTTTCCACATGATTGTTAAGTTCTCTGTGTGTCATGATCATGTTGTGATCACATGGAGTGAAATCTTCTGTGATTGTAACAATCACATCATTCACTTTGGTCGCTAAGAAAGACTCAAGCTCACTCTATTTTTTATTAGGGCCCCTGTGTTTCATATGACTGTTTGGTAAAAGCTGTGAATTTATAATTTAGGTTGCTAAAAATGCTTGTTTTTAGGTGATTATCCATGGGAATCATGGCAATCACATGAAAACCAGACTAAACATGTTGATTTGCATGCATATATTATGCAGACTGTAGTGATGTAATTAATTTGGGTTCAAAATTCAATCTTTAGGAAAACCAGTGTTTGGAGTCCCATTAGAAGTGGCAACTAAACAAACCAGACTTCCAGATGGAGTTGAGCTGCCCAGGGTTTTCCGGGAAGGAATTGTTCACATTGAAGAAAACTGTAAGTCACCATTTTCTTACTCTTAGTTTGGTTTCAAGTGATCAACTCAGTTGATAAAACAAATGTATAATGTTTGTGCTTTATTCCTCCTCCAATCCATCACTAGAATTATTATTTCTCCTAGACCAAGTAGTTCAAAGCCGGGCAGCTACTGTAGCTCTTACCGTAACATGATCATGAGTTGTTATGACTTTTACAATCATCTTCAAAAGTGTTAGGGAGGCTGCTACTTTTTACCTCTTATTTCCTTCTTTCCACACCCTTGGCCCAATTCTGAGCAAAACTTAAATGTCATGATAGTTCTGGTTTATTTCAACATTGAATAGGGGGATGGAGGATATTTAGAAAAAGGGAAAGCCATCATTTTTGAAGTTTAAATTGAACTACTGTTAATATATACAATCGTACTAACTACTGGTACTTTTGACAATCAGGGATATGGATTAGCACTATTATTGCATAACTGTATGCAACACAATCAGCGAAACTCATTGAGACATTTTACTCAAATAGTGTAACTACAGAGAACAAAAGAATCCACACCCCTCCCCCTCCTCTTCATTCAAAGTTGGGGTGTTTGTTGTTTTCTATAGGTAGCTCGAACAGTGGCATAACATTGCATGGAGGGGATGGGGGAGGAAAAGCTTTATTTTGGAAGTCAGAAAGCCCCTTAGAGCAAAGTGTCTAATTTTGTCGCCTATTGTAGAAACATACGTTGATTGTATCTAGTACATGTGTATTTGTCTCCGTAATGAAAAACACCCAGAAACTTCAGACTTCAGAAGTTTTGAATAATATTCTAATGCAGCACTTTACTATATTCAGGCCTTGAGGTTGAGGGAATTTACAGAGTTTCTGGGACAAAGTCTAAAATAGATTTCTTGAGAGAAAGCTATGATCAAGGTATGTGCAAAATTGAAAGTATTTACTGTACAACTCACAGACAGATATTACATTTACCATTTTAGTAATTCTCTTGAGTATGCATTAAAATATTCTGGCCACATCAACCCAGGCCTCTTTCATGTTCTATGTAACTGAACCTGCTGGTCCTTTGGCAAGACTAATAATAATTTTTTTCAGTTTAAAATTTAGGAAAAAGTTCAATAATGATCTTGATTGAAGAAAGTATTATGGAATATTTTATTTACTCAAATATAATAATACATTATTATTTGATATGTTTATTAATGTCAGGGATAACCATTCAGTGGTCTGCGATATATTTTTCTCATTAAGCTAATGAAGGGGAAAGTACATGTAATTGTATGAATCATGACAGGAGAAGGTAGTTTCTAAAATGGACTTTTATGGGTACACTCCCCAAAATAGAGATACATTTTTAGACTTGATTAAGTTGTAACAGGAGGCAGGGATTTTGAATTAACATGTAGAAAAGACTGGAGTAAACTTCTATCGTTAATAGGATAGGAAATGTCTGGAACAAGCTGATCCAAGTTAGTGTTTTAAGAGTTTGCTCAAGAAAAAGTGAGTTTAAGTTTCTGATAAAAAAATTCCTTTCTTCAAGCCAGGGGTGTTTAATACTCCCTGCTGTATGTGCAGCTCCTTTGAACCAGGTATATACCACACCTGCAGACCAATTTCTCTTGCCAGCCTGGCAGAAAAATGAGATTTATTACAGCCTAATTACTGACATAGAAGGACAGAAGGACCACAGAAGGATTCAACTGAACTTCTGGTTAAGTCGGTCTGCAAAACAGTGCTGAAATCCATGTTCAGTTCTCACCTGTGTACCAGGATTTGAGTACACACTATTGTTGGTCTGTTAAAAGTACAATTGTCAATTTGTTAATCAGGTTGAAGGGAAATTTGAAGTGCATTTCCAGTAATTTGTTGAGTCCATTGAGGGCCGAGAACAAGGATATTGCTACTGCTTTCCAGACATTACTAACTGGGGTTAGATTACATCTGCAATGCAGGCTAGCTAATGCTGACACATTTTTAAAATAAAATAAATTTGAACCAATGTTGGACAAGTAGAGTCCATGTGGATGATCAAACTTTTCCAAAAATCTCTGGTTTTTAAGGGGAAAGCACTGAAACTGAGCACTTTGGTGACCTTCTGAATGTCTTTAGAAGTCATCAAAACATCTTTTACATTGTGTAGAAATCTCTTGGCTCTCTCTGTGGGTAGTCATTGGTAAAAATTAAATCTCATCTTATACCTTTGACTAGAAAAAGGCTTACAGTTTAGCTTCATGGAATTTGACCTCTGAGTGAGGGCTGTCACTGATTTTAGAAAGGAAAGCACTGCAACTTAGAACTTTGGAGACCTTATATAGTTTTTGTAAATGTCTTCAGAAATCATCAAAACATCTTCAGAACTCAGGGTAGTCGTTTGTGAAAATTATATTTCATATTCCTTTGACTTGAAAAAGGCTGGCAGTTTAGCTCTCTAGAATTTGACTTTATTCATTAATACCCTTTGGGTTAATTTGTCTCCTGTTGCTGAGTCTTTGGATTGTACTCTGTTTGTTTTTCTGAAGGTAAAACAGTGGATCTTCATGAATATGAAGCTGAGGCTGTGTCAAGTTTGGTAAAACTTTATCTTCGGGAGTTACCTGAAAACATCCTTACTGCTGCATTGGTTCCAAAGTTTAATGAAATCTCCAGTAAGTAATTAAACAAATGGATATTGTACATGTATTCCTAGTGGAATAATTCAGTCAATACCTGTAACTTTAAAGAACTCAATTATAATCTATCAGATGATATAAGCTCAATGATAGATGATGGGTGTAAGGGCTGTTCTCTCTGCTCATCATAATCATTTAATTTTACAATTCTCAGTCTTGTTATAATAGTGAATATTGCTCATTTTAGATTCTCATTAGATTGTAATACATTATGCTTAGTTTTAATATTTTTACTTATTTATATTAATAATAATAATAATATAAAAGTAAGCCGGAGCCGTATAGCTTGGGAAAAACCCCATACTAATCTGGGGGTACAATTTATAATATTGGAGTTAGGTATACAATAATTTATTGTATACGTAATTCCAATATAAATAATTTATTGTGTCCCCAAATTAGTATGGGGTTTTTCCCAAGCTATACAGCTCCGATATGGCTCTATCTATCTATCTAGACACCAGCGAGAGTCATTTTCATGAATTTTATGCATTTATTTGACCATTTTGAGGTCAAAATGGCTAGGGATAACTGGTCAGGTTCTTTTTTCTTGTTGAGATTCTCAACAGATAACACCCTCTTCAATCTGTGTAATTCTTTAGATCATAGGAAAACCTTATCCAAAAATAATATTGCTAATGTCAATTTTATCGTCAAATAGCAGATGCCATCCATCATGTTAAGTTGTATTCTTGCTATGTTTTTTCAGCTATTTCCTCTTCGTAAAATGAGTGAAATGTTCTGCCATTTTTCTACTGCTCTACCAAAACAATGCAACCTTGTCCCCAGGGTTTCCTGTTGTCCCTATTTCAGGCATTTACCTTGTACTAGTGGTCCCAGTTGTTCGAACCCTGGTTAGCGCTAACCCAGGGTTAAACTTTAACCCGGATTTCTTTTTTTTTTTATCAAAACCACTCTCTTCCAAGGGTAATTATTCTTTTTAGAGTATCCAATCATCAAATTGTAGGCAAAGAGAATTAAACTGAATTTGTTTTTTAAGCTGTCATGCTTGAGTTCAAATTTCGCTTTAACCCTGGGTTATCTCAACCCAGCTTCGAACAACCTGGCCCTGATGTCATATCGGGCAAACATCTTCCATATTTGGTGAAAACTATCTGTTTATGAAGAATTAGCCAAGGGATTTGAGCCAGTTAGAAACAAAATAACCAGTAATTCTGTCTGTGTTTTGCATCAAGTACACTGTGATATTCTGCTCATAAGCACCATAAGGATGCCATTTCTTTCTCCTTCTTCAACTTCTTAAAGATTCTTCAAGTGGAAGCCCTTTGCATATATAGCTGTTGTAGCTGTTCGTCGCATTATTGTTTTACTATAGGTATCAAGGACAGAAGTGAACAAGTGGAAAAAACTAAACAGCTCCTTACTGAGCTGCCATCATGTAACAGGACACTGTTGGCGTGGCTCTTCACTCACATGTCTCATGTCATAGAAAAGGTGAATACCATCCCATAATGATTTTATTAGTAATAGAACTCATCATCATCATCATCATCATCAGAATCATCATTCATTGTTATTGACGTTATTATCATTGTTATCATCATCACAACCACCACCGCCACCATCGTCATCATCATCACCGTTGTTGTCATCATCATCAATCTGTTGTATAGGGGCATAGTGTCTCATAATGTCTCGCTCATATGTCTCTTCTCATAGAAAAGGTGAAAGCCATCCCATAATGATTGAATTGTAATGCCACTCATCATCATCATCATCATCATTATCATCATCATCACTTGACGTCATTGTCATCATCATCACCGTCATCATCACCACAACCATCATCATCATCATCATCATCATTTTCCTGATCAACACCATCATCATCATCAAATGTTATTTTCATCTGTTGTGTAGAAGCATTATTAAGATTAATCCTTATTACACTGTATAATGATCTTGATCTGCTCTTTGCGAAGCCGTCCATTTAAGGAAGTTTCAAGTGTAATTTGTTATTGGATTGTGTAATGTACCTCAGGGCTAGGCCAAACTTCAAATGTGCCAAACTCAATTTTTGCTCATTAGCAGTAGATTCAGCATGACGTGTGAAGTTTATCACTTTAAGTAACTTAAGATGTTAGACAGTTAAAATTGATATCCTTATTTTTTTCCTCTAGTATTCATCAAACAGAATGAACCTGCAGAACATTGGAATTGTTCTGAGCCCAACAATGAATGTAGGGCATAGTGTATTGTTCATTTTCCTAAACTACGTCGAAGAGCTATTCCCTGATACAAAGCTCACAAAGTAAGTACCATAGTGGTGACATTTTTTTAATTTTTTTTTTTTTTATGAAAAAAATATAGTACAAGGATTTTTTTTTAATGAATAAGGTTAATGTCATTTATTTGTTATGAGACCAAAGACCTTGGCAGTCTTTTAATTTCGTTTCATGGTTAGATCAGAGTAGATCTTCCAATAATTAATCTTATGTTCTAGTAATGTACTTCTAAATGTAACAATTTTTTATTAAAAACAACTACAAACAAGCAGTGTAAATGAGGATTTAGTGCCCAAATAAGTTAGCCTTTCAAATACATTTGAGTTGGTGAAATCAACAGAGCATAAATGTCGGTCAATTTATTGTTTTTTGGTACTTGTTATTGTGAACAATGAGCAGCAATAAGACACATTTCTTTGTTTTTGCTCTCCCATTTCGTTTTTAATTACTAGGTTAACTTTTTTTTCAACAAGAGAAAAGATGGCTGTATTAACAAGGGGGACAAAGTTCCTCAATCTGTTATTATTATTATTAATTTATTATGAAAGGCTCAGTAATAATTATTAGAAGCATGAAGTGCTTTTTTTGTTAAAGGTACAGTGGACCTCTTACAACGTCTGTTGGAATGGGTGATGATGAAGAGGATTTACCCAGTAGTCCAAAGTAAGATGCAGTGTAAGAACAATGCAAGTTCACAGAGCAAGAACTGATTTGATTTTAATTAATGTGCTTGAATTTTTATGTTTTTCGGGCGTAGAGGTTCTAAACTTAATCAAGAGTGTGAGGACTATAATTATTATGTTTGTTGTCTAAAACAGCTAAATGTTCTTTTTTATCACAGAAATCAATATAACTGCTTAGCTTTTAAAGTAGACTATGCAATATAGGATATATATACCTATATATTTTTTTTACAGAATTAAGACTTATGTCTGACCAGGTTAATGTTTTAATCGATCAAACAAAAAAATTTGTTGGACATACAAGCCAATCAGTTACTTAACCGGCAGTCTTTGGTATTTGTTATGTATGTCCAAATGTGTGGTGGTAGGTGCATGTAGGATTTCATTTGCTGTGGACAAATATTGTAGTCAAAGACTGATTGTTATTTGCAGATCTGCACATAAATTATCATTATTTTCTTACTTCTCTAACTGTTAGTAGCTTCATCATGAGAAATTATTACTCACCAGGGACAATGTATGTAATTGATTTTGCATTATTAATCAATATTTTATCTTCACAGTGCATTAGCTTCTGCTTTGGCCAAGCAAGAAGCAATTCTTACTCAGCTTCATGAAGAACTCAACATGAATACAGACATTGCGCAGGTACAAGTTAGCAATTAGCTTTAAATATGTCTATCATGTACTAACTTAAATACCTTATTCTCACTTAATTTCATGAGTATTAAATTTCGTGATTTTCGTGCTTTCGGAAAAATTGCTAAATTCAGTAATCACGAACTTTAAAAATACCACAAAAATCCTTAAAAATTCTCTTAAGATCCCTAAAAGTCACAAAATTAAATACTCATGAATATGGCTCATGATTTTTTGCAAAATTAAATACTGGCTAAATTAATGTGAGAATAAGGTAATAATTTTCACAAAACCTCTTTGATTACCTCAAATGATCTTTTTGGAATTCATTTAGGCTTTTCTCCAAGGCTGTTCTTTAAGAAAAATTGAAGAGATCACAAGCTCAGTGCTCTGAACTCACCCAAGAGCAAAAGTTAGGTAGCAGGGGCCATCAGGCTCTGCTAGAGCACAGCCTTATATTATCTCATATGGTTATAGATGTGCACAGATGTTCTGTACCTCTGAGTATAGTCCAGGTGGCAGAGAGTGGGGACAGAACTGGACCAGGGTTGTACTTGATCTCCACCCAGTGACCCCCTGGTGACTTATTTTCCCTTCAGGTGACAGATACTGGGAAACATGAATGTTACAGGTTGAGAGATTTATGCAGGTGGTGGGAGGTGGTGCTACAATAAATTGTTCTTTGAATCCTGGCAGAGTTGCTCTATGGATTTATAGGAAGGGGGTTTACTGCTAAGACCCTTGTAGGCCTGGCCTGTATCAGACCATTTTTCAGCAGCTGTATCTTGCAAAGCTATTCTGAACCAGAGACCAACAATCTCCATCCCACTTAGGCTTAGTATTGCCTGGTTTCAAACCATGGGTATGAGTCCATTTATAATGCAATTATCAGCACAAGACTCACTTACTTTTATAGGACTTGGAAATTCTACATGAGATTTTTTGGGGGGTTTTGTTGGAAGCTGCAATTTTTTTTTGGTTTGGTTTCTGCTACTTTCAATTATCCCATGGGGATGTGATACACATGCAGCCATATGTGTCCAGAAACTGCTGGTACGATCAACCCTAGGGTGGGGACTTGTTCTAACTTACATATTTTCTCCTTTTTCATTTTCTAGCCTGATAGACAAGATGAGATGCTTTGGGAAGTGCAAAGAAAGGTTACCCTACTAAAAAGGAAGGTAAATGATGAGCAAACATAGATAATTCACCTGTTAACAAGAATTTAAGGAGCAGTTGGGAAGTTTGTGTCACAAGATTTAACCAAATCCAGCCTCTGGAAAGTGACCATTAAATTGAGCAAACTGTGACTAACGTTTATTGTTTTCTCAAATGTCTAACTTTAACTTCTTAGACATAAGAGGAAAGTTTCAATAACATGGCAAATAAAAAAAGAAAGCATGGAATCAAATTAAAGGGCAGAATTGAATTTTATAAAAACAGGGCTTTTTAAAACATAATTTTTCAAAAAATCTGTTGTTTGTAACCCCAACTACATTCCTGGTTACTGTGGCAGTTCACAAGTACTGGGGTTAGATTTTGTTCATCTGTCCAATGAATTTGGTGTTAACTTTGCCCAGACATCATGTGCATAGGTAGTTAAGATTACATTGAAATATTTGGACATTGTCCTACCAACCACTGTTATTTCCAGCTCTTCAATTTTAGTAGTGCTCTCTCAATGTCATCTTATTAAAATATTGGTTGTTTTGGTAGACCCTGACTGATTAAGTGAACTGGTTCTGTCATTTTATTTTGTTCCAGCTGAGACATGCTAAGCGACATGCATTGCAGTCAAATCAGGGAGAAGAACAACAGAAAAAGCAAGAGCATACAACAGAAACAAGAGATGAAGAGGATGGTATGATACATTTTGCAGTTCAAAGTAATGAAAACATTTTAACTAGCTCATAATAACTAGGACACTTACTTGAGATACAATCATTTTACATAATGTTAATTAAATTACAGATTGCATAGCACCCATGTTAAGTGCAACAAAATGTAATTTTTGAAATTATGATTGCCCAGAAGAGCAACTCTCCTTAAGATCTTCTTAAACACCTTTGATGACTGCTGACAAAAGAAATTGAGATGATAACCCCGCCCTCTTACATGGCCAATGTCATTTATGTTTAAAGAAAAGTAAATAACCTGAATATTAACGTTCAATGTAAAATTGTCTTACAGGAGCAATTTCACTTTTAGAAGCTTCTGAGGCAGAGCTGTTACTGGAGCAAGAGGTCAGGAGAAGTGCCACAAAATATTTTCCATCCACAGGAGATTTCCAGCTTTTGACATTGCTGAAAAAAGTGCTTGATCAGTTTTTTTGCCATGTTTGAGAGTGATTGGTTAAAAAGTAACAAAGATGTAGCTGCCCAGAGTCATGTTGGGGGAGTGAGGGCCAAATTTATATCCAACACCATACAAATGTAACTATAAAGTTTCACGAGTTCTTGGAGTCAAATCACCTGTTTCTGACAATATTATCACTCAGCTGTGTTTAGAGCAGCCAGTTTTGCCTTGGATTATTCTGCATGCTGGTCTGTCATTGATTTCATTCTTGTATCTTTCTCTTGTGATTATATCTTTATTTAACATAGACACTTTTGGTTGGTTTTACTATTTGTATTCAGATCCATCTCTCTTTGAAAAATACCTAGATAAGACTGAATTTACCTTGTTTTGTGTTCATAGGAACTAACTTCCATTGGTGATGAGCTCAGAAAACGTTTAGAGCAAGAAAAGAAGGAAATTGAAAGACTTAATGTGAGAGTTAATTCTTCCCATTTATATCAGATGATTCAGCAATTTATTATAATTTAAACACTCTTCTACTGAATACCTCTGTACCTACCTTACTTCTTACCTCCTTAACTAACTAAGCACACCCACCCACCTACCTACCCA